GCTGTGATGGTGGAACAGGGTAGGAAGGCGAGGCCAAGGAGGCCGAAGGCGCGTAATTTTCCCTTTCCACGGGCCGTGTGGGCGGCAACGCGGGGCCAGAGGGGGGAAGTGAGGGAGGCTCTGGCGCCCGGGGCGGCGAAGCTCCTTGAGGTGGCCCCGATCCCGGGCCTGCTTGGGCCGCGTGGACCCCGGGAAAGGGGTTTGACGGGCCGTGCGCAGGTAGGTAGCCTCCTGTGGGCATGTAGGAGGGAGGGTCTGGACCTTGGCGGCCGCCTGATGCCCCTTGCTGGGCATACCCTCCGTCGTCAGACCCCGTACCCCCCCAGGCGTCGCCCCCCCCTCCGTTTCCCTCCACCGGGCTTTCCTCCTCCCTGCGCCTGTCTGTGGCCCCTCCCTCCCTGTTCTCCGCAGGCTTCCCCTTCCCTTCCACCACCCCTCCTCCATCGCCTAGCCGCCAAGGCAGGTAGCCGTTCGCGGACTCATCGCGCGACTCCGACTCGGGTGGATACGCGAGCATGGCTACGCCCGGGCAAAGGTTGGGCTCTTCCGTGCAATATGAAGGGTCTGAAAGGCCCGAATTAGAGGGATGTGCCTCCATCGCGTGTTCGTCTTGGTGCTGGGGGCGGGTGAGATCCGGAGGCGGATGTAGCGGCGTGAAGAAGGCAGAATCATCCAGGGAATGGGGGAACTTTGGGGCACGCCCTTCCAGCGAGGATGGAAAAACTTCCATCTCCATCCTGTCACAATGCATGGCGGGTAAGTTGAGCGTTGAGATGGGCATGGGAGCTCGTGAGGGTACATGAAGGGGCAAAGAGGTAATAGTGCATTCGTCCCCGAGGCCGCTTCAAATCCACACGTGAAGGTGAGCACAAGCGGGGCGAAATAACCGTACATCCCATGTTGGCTTTGAGACATCGCATCACACAGAGCACGCGTCCCCAAAATGGCACGGTTATCCCTGTATCCGCGTGCAAATCTAATGACGACCCATCTATGGTACCTGATGCCATCAGGGACAGACGAAATCGAGAGTTCATGCGTACCAGGTGTGACGCAAACAAGGCCTCGTACAACGCATATATGCCTTTGACATGCATACGTGGGCCTTGTGGTTTTGCATCACGGCATCTTTTCATGCTCGGCGCGTGGTCCATGCACTTGACATGTCTAATCTCCGGTCATGTGACCACCATCTCGCTAGGCTGCTCACCGTCGGCCCCAAATTTTATTCCCACCCACGCCCTGGACACTGGCGTTCACGGTGTCCCACCCATCCACGAGCCTCGCACACGTCGAAACCGAGGCTTATGGACGCAGGGCCTGTGTGCAGGGTTTCACCACGCCATTCGTCTCCATATACCATTTCGGCGCTAGCTTGAAAACAATGCATGCCATCGGTGCGTCCCGCCCTCCCAAGCACTTTTCGGGCGAGGCAATCACTGGCCCTATTCCATGTCGTGCCTGCCTTTATTCCGTATCTTTTGCGACGCAGATGGTGCCCGCGGCGGGCAATTTCACTTTTCCCGCGAAGCAGACTGTGACGGCGGACAGAGAGTCCCTGCGTAGTCGCCTTCGCATGCAAACAGTCAGCCTCAGTCCATGTCGTGCTTGGTTTATTCTCGTGGGGGCGTTGCGGGGGATACAACCCGGTAGCAGAAGGAGAAACGAATTTCGTTTACAACGTGACGCATGGCGTGATGGCGGACTCCACTTGCCCTAGCCATGTCTGGCGTATGCTGCACGCGGCGAGACCTTCGATCTCACCCGAACGGCTGCAACCTTGTTTTGAAAGTTTTAAGTGTCCGCACATCTTGGCCTACGAGCGCCATTTGGACTGCGTTAATGGTTGTTTTTGCAATTCGTTTGTTGGTTTCCTCGGACAGGCCATGGCGTCGACCTCCCGGCCCCCCGCACGGAAACGTCGGAATACGCATGCAGCTGCATCCCCCGGTTCCACAAGGACCGTAGCAGCTCTTTTCTACACAGCGGCGTGCACCTCGATCACTGTCGTGTCCTTTTCGCTCCTACACACGACGCATGCCTTTGTTTATCTCCCACGAAGGGACCACCGCTTGACAAGCACTCTCCCCTCCCAATGGGACCTCGGCCGTTGCAGCAGCAACCACGACGGTCGGCCTGGCATGCCGAAATGGAGAGGGCACACACGGGATATGCTCGTCCGAACCGCGACGAGCAAGAAATCCTCCGCGGAGGCGCCGGAGGAACGGGATTGGAAACAAGCCTTGTTGGAGGACGACGACTTGGACATCGACGCGATCATTGCCGCGAACAAGGAGACGCTGCCTCGGCTCCCGGGCATTTTAAATGCGTCCCCGCGGGACGGGAACGTGGACTTGCCTGAGTCTTTTCTGGACGAGGCGGTCGCCTCCCCGAAGAAAGAGGAAGGGGTGGGGCCGCTCGTGTCTCGGGCCAAAATGCAAGGACTCGGAGGAAAAGGGGAGGACGACGAGGAGAAGAAAAAAGCCCAGCAAAACGCGCGTTTGGCCACATGGCTGGGCGAGAATGGAGTTTGGATGCAGGATAAATCCGGCTGGGGCGTCCCACCTCATCCCCTCCTCTTATCCTCCCGAACCATCGACGAGATCGAATTGGAGGACTCTGGTCGGGGCTTGATTTGCAAGTACCCCATCAACATGGGGAACGCGCTCTTCCAGCTTCCTCTCAGCATCGTCATCGACAAGGAGAAGTCCCTGGCCGCCTTCGACGGCGCCCTCCCCGCGGACATCAACGAATACTTCGCGATCGCACTTATGCTCATCAAGGAACGCGCGTTGGGGCCGAGCTCGTTTTGGGCCCCTTACATCGACGTGCTCCCCACCACGGAGGAGGTGAACCCCACCCTAGTCTGGCCCGAGGGGGACCTGGCCCTGCTCGAGGCCTCGCCCTTGGTGGCGGCTACCCGGAGTTTGAAACGGAAGTTGGCAGCCGAGTTTGCCCTCTTGGAAGAGCAGTACATGCGTGCCCGGTCGGATGTGTTTGACCCCAGCGTTTTTACTTTCGAGGCGTATTTGTGGGCGTTCATCAACATTTTTTCGAGGGCGATTCGGGTGAAAATCGGGGGAAAACGGGGCCCGAGCGGGGAGGAGGAGGAGTCCATCATCATGTGTCCGTACGCCGACCTGATAAACCACAACCCCTTCGCCAACACCTACATTGTGGCGGAGAAGCCTTTCAAGATGTTCAACCCCATTCGGGGGGAGGAGGTGATCACAATTTATGCGGACAAGGACTACAAGAAGATG